TTCCCCTTCTTCGCTGTCAGAGTCGCTTTCCGTGCCGGGCGGCTCCTCGGAAATAATGCCGGCTTTTGCGAAAGCTGGAACAGAGCCAGCAGACGCGTTAGTTAAAGCATCTACAATCCATCCGCTAACGGTGGCGTTAATTGCCCGGCGCTGCCTTCCAGTTTTCGTGAAACTGTGGTCTCCGTCTGTCAGCCTTACTTTGAACGGCCGGTTCACACTGATGTCGAGCGGTTGAAGTTCCGAAGATAACCGCAAGCACAGCGCTAATTTGTTTCACCATGTTTTTCACATCGGCTGTGAGATGGGCACGCATGGAGTCACAGATTATATGCGCCTTAAAGTCGTGAAAATACGGTAAAAGGAAATAAAAGCCGATTAAATCATTGTTCAGGTTTCATGTAGCGTAGCTCAACCATGGCTGTCCTTCCTGATCTCCTAAAAATGAAATATGTCATCTTATTTTGTAATTATGAGTCAAGATCTCATCATTATGATCTCAGATGTTTTGTTTTTTCAGTATGCTTCTGTAGGTTAGTGACTCGCTCTCATTAGAGCCGTCTAGCTTCATGTGGGCTTTCCTGGGAAAGTCGGAAGCAGACGACGGGAACGTTTTCCACTGACGGTGTTTTTCCTGTGCAGGGGAATCGGTCAGGTGCTGACAGACTACGTCCACGGGGACACGAAGATCAAGATGGCCAACGCGGGCCTCTTCCTCCTGTCCACGGTCACCTTCGCAGGCCTCTGCTACTTCAACTATAACGACGTGGGCATCTGCAAAGCCGTGGCTCTGCTCTGGAGCAAATGAAAGGGACTTTGGACTGGCCAGCTCAGGAGGAACCAACGCTTTGGGACGAATCTGATCCCGGCTGATTGTAAAAAAACAATAATTCAACGCGTTCTTTGTAAATTCTATCATTTTGAAATGAGTTTAGATGTTTGTTGATTGGGCTGAAAGCCTCCATTTGCTTCCAAGTCATTTAATCCATCCACTGATCAGGTCTAACAGCAGTTTAACACCTTGTGTGTTTTTTAGTCACACATCCTGTTGAGTTAAAGGTTGCAAACGGCTGTGCTGCTGCTGAATTTAGCATCCGTCAGAAATCTACCAGATAACCGGAGGATTTCCCTGATGCTGCAGAAAGCTTCTTCTTCTTCTTCTTCTCTGTTCTCTCCCTGCATGCAGAGATTCCAGATCCTTCAGTTTTTCAGCTGCTGCAGGAGGAAGTAAAGAAAACTGAGCTCCGCCTTTAATCTGTGCAAATATTTACACAGTAAAAAAAAAACTGCTCACACTTGGCTTTGTTTTTTTTATTGATACACTTATTTAATATACTGTATATTAGAAAAACAGGCTGTTATTTCTTTAATTATGATATAAAAACTGGTTAAATGGATAGTATAATATAGAAGGAACCCTAATAAAGCGGGAAGAGACCTCCGCTTCAGGGTGACAAATTATAATTAAAAAACAAAACCGTTGCATCAAAGAAGAGCTTTAAAATGAAATGCTTTAGTCCAGTGAGACGGAAGACAGTTGGACGTCCAGAGGAGGATGAAGGTCCAAGCCTGAATCCCAAACCGCCTCCCCATCACTAACCGTTGTGGTCAGAAAATTTTATATATATTTTATATATATTTATGCTTTTTACTCGCTATGAAAGTTAATTCCCCTGCTTGAGGCTGTTTGCAGACCAGACTTTCTTTATTCCCATAAAAAACAAAATATCTTCCAGGCCTCCCTCGAAAAAGAGATTTTATCTCAAGGGACTTCCTGGTAATATAAAGGTAAATACCGGTAAATAAAAAAATAAAATCTCAAGGTTTATTCATAACATGTGTGATAACTTTGCTCAGATGAGAACAGGGCTGATTACGGTGCCGCATGATGAGCTGTTCTCTCTTTGCAAAGATAAAAACAGAATAAGATTTTCTGCCACACCTTCAAACCTTTGCTACAAAGAACAGCGGCTCTGAGACAGAAGCAGCGGCCTTCAAATGTGGGTGAAGTCATTTACAAACGCAAAGCTTTACGAGCTGCAAGTTGTCAACATAAACATGGCTGATTCGTCCACTTCGTCCCTGGCTACTCGACGCAGAACCAGTTTATGCAGGCAGGCGTCGGCTTCCTCCAGGGCCAGGAAAAAACCCGGGAACAAGGTGGACTCAAACATGTATTTCCCAGGATTGGACTGTTGCCAGCGGAATATGGCTTTGTGTCCTGCTCCATTAATCATATTCAGACCGTTGGGATCCTGGGAGAGACGAGAAGTGGGAAAACTGGTTAGGCCACGTATGCATCACAAGGTGCACCATGATTATCAGGAAGCAGCTTTTATTCACCATCTCCTCTGCAGAGACCTCCTTGTTCTCCTGGCAGGTTACTGTCAACTTCTTGCCATCATTCGCTACATTGAGCATGACTGGCTGCCTGCCACTAATATTCGTATCGTTATAAATCTGGATGGAAAATGTGGAGTCTGGAAGAAAAAAACAAAAAACATGAGATCCAGCTGGAAGAAAGATGTAGGAGACAAAACTGGAAACATGAAGGCAGGATCGGATTTCAGAAATGTGGGGCCGTAGCCAAAGACAACACATAAACAGACCCGTTGTCCAGATAGAGAAATGTTAATAGAATAGACATCCATGATCTGTTCTAGGTTGTGTCCCTCTCTTCTTGTCCCTTTTCTTCTTGTTTTCCTCTCTATGTTTTGT